TTTTAATAAATAAACTCTTCAAAAATTTAATTTAATTTAATTAAATAAGCACCTATATATAATTAAAATTACCTGAAAAAATAAAAATTCATTTCAATTTTATAAATCCCCAAATTAAAATCATGTATGTATTATTAGTGTTCAAAATAAAAATATATTTTTTTATTTTTCTATACAAAGTAGTGAAAAAATATGTAATTTAACAATGATATTAAGTTTTTCAAGAAATACTAAAATTTAAATTATAATATTGATTGTTGTAAATTAAAATTATTATCTTAATTAATTATTACATTTGATATAAAATTTAAATTTCAAAAACAAAATATTGTAAAAAACAAAAAAATATATATACTAAATTTAATATTTTTCAAAAGTTTAGGGATAGCTTGTTAACAGTTAGAAAGAATTCCGTTATTTAATTAATGGAATGTTTGTTACGTAGATAATTTTGAAACAAAATTGATGGTTTGTAGATAATTTTGAAACAAAATTGATGGTTTATAAATCATTTTAAAAGAAAAAAATTATTTCTAGACTAAACTGAAATAAATCATATAGTTAATAGATTATTTATTGCATTTAACCCAATATAAATATCTTAAGTGTTAAGTTTTTTCTAATATAATTAAAAGATTTTGAATTTAAGATCCATGATATACACCAATGAGTTGATCCCATTTTTTAAACTTTGTTTAAAGCGAATAAAATTTAAAATGAATATCACTAGAATTGATTAGAAGCATTCATAATCAAAATTTAAAATTCCTCAAGCAAACATCTAAGAATAATATAATATCAAAACTAATTCTATTATGAAGTTTTAAGATTTCTAAAATGATACATCTTTAAGGCTTAGTTAGGAAAAATAAAATACTTTTCTAGAAACAAATTAGAAATTTAAGATTAGGGTAAAGTTGCAGGCCAAATCTGAGGGTAGAGTTGTAGACAAATTGGAAATTTAGAATTAGGGCTAGAGTGAATGATTAAGAAGGAAAAATAAATTAGGCAATATGGGGATGCTCTATTTTTATTTTTTAAATTAAATTAACGAAATTATTATCTTGTGAAACAAGAAAAAGAAAATTTAAAATACTACAAAAAAGTATATTATATATTTAATTAAATTATCTTATAATCGAGTTTTATCTTATAATCAGGCACTTCGGGCAATTTGAAGGTGAAAACCACAAACAAACCAATTATGTCAATTTTGAATTTTTATAATGCAAACCAACCTAATTTTATATTAGTTTGGTTTGGTTTGGTGTTTAATTAGATTGGGTCAATTTGGATCAGATCAATCGAATTGAATTGAATATAAACACCTTCACTTGTGGTACAAATTACTCAAGCATGCCACTGGCTTTACTCAAAGTAAGAAAAAAGGATTTCTAGCGACTTTTTCTTTTTCCAAGTGTGGGAAATTGTTTAAAAATCAACGAAAGAATGCTATTTGATTGAATGATTGTGCCAATAATACTTTGACCAAACGATTGTAGTAGAACCAATGGTGCATTTTTGCATAAAGGTTCAAAAAAGAGGAAGAAGGACTGCATGGTAGAAATAAAGGATGATATAAGACTAAGGTAATGAGAGAACATTAATCAAGATAACATTAAGCTAAAAAGAGTGATAGAAATCTTAAATTTGTTAGAATTAGAAACTAAGAATACCATCAGAAATATAATAAAACCAAAAAACTTAGCTTAAATTGAAGTTGGTAGAAATATAAAAAACAAGCTAATGACACAAATGAAATGAAACTAAGATTTTTATTTGAAATCTTAAGAAAATTACAACTAGAGGTTGAAACATAAATTTACTCAAAAAGTAGAAACTAAATTTAGGTAATTAGATAGAAATGTAAATTACTAATAAAAATATGAAGTTTGTTGGCAAAATAAGAACAACTATATTAAATTTATGGAATAGTATTTATTTGCCTTACTTTCGAAAGATTAGGAGGAAAATCATCTCAAAACTACGTCATTTAATAAATTCTCATTGAAAAAAACTAAAATTTCATATTTTTAAAAATTAAAAAAAAAATCATTTTAAAATTACATCATTTCAAAATTACATCATTTCAATAAATCTCCATTGAAAAAATTAAAATACTTTATTTTTAAAGTATAAATTAGAATATTTTTT